AGATCTGAACTCCCCCTCCCCCCAGCATTTGTGTATATGGGGGCACATCAGCAACTGAACCTGGATCCAAACTTGACAGCTGTGCCCTATCCCCATCGTCAGCTGAACCAATACCTAGCATCCAAACAAGTCCACCCCCGCCCAGTGCTGGAGTCCTAACCCAGGATGTGTGGGAATGCCCTTCCGGTACTGTCACTCCTGAATGAAGGTAACGCAAACCGGGACAGCTTCTCCTGCCTGCAGGGAGCCCCATGCACCCAGTGACAGGAGCTGCCACACTTGCCCTGAGCGCCTTTGCACCGCTCGCCGGGGACTACACCGCACTCCAACACCTCCACGGGCTCCCCTCAGCACTGAGTGATCCATCAGCAGCACCAATCTCCAGATGAGTCCCTGGATCCCCCTGGCAGTGGGCAGAGATCCCTCCCCACTATCAGCATGGAGCAGCGAGCAAGCGGCACCGATCCCGGCATGCTGCTAAATACAGCTCCACCCGGCACCAGTTCTCTCAGTGTATTGCGGGGACAATTAAGAAATTTGGGCCCCAAACAAACATGCCTTTCACCTTCCAGGCATTCCACAACTATGCATTTCACCTGCTATCCGGAGAACCCATGCTCCATACCTTGCAGATGGCACTGAACCTTTCGCTGCTGTTCTTCACTGGATGTTCTGTGAAAGTTGCATAAGGGATATCCTTGGCCCATGGATTCCAACGGGACAGGGCAGATGGCTCTTTCAGATTATCCCAGTAGATTCTCAGGCCTTCTCCCTCCCTCCTGGAGAACGAGCAATTCAGACAGAGAAAGGTGCATTACATCAGGCAACTCGTAACAGAAAGGTTACCAATCATTCTGAACAGGTAGCTTTTTTGGAAAAGGGGTGATTTGATCACAGTCTATAGGTATCTACATGGGGAATAAATATTTTATAATGGGCTCTTCTCTCTAGCAGAGAAAGGTCTAACACGACCTTATGGCTGGAAGTTGAAGCTAGACAAATTCAGACTGAAAATAAGGAATAGCTTTTTGACAGCAAGAGCAATTAACCAGTGGAACAATTTACCAAGGGTTATTCATAGAGTCTAGGGCTGGAAGGGACCTCGAGAGAATTCTCCATCATTGACAATTTTAAAATTAAAACAGGATGTTTTCCTAAAAGCTCTGCTCTAGGAATTATTATGGGGAAGTTCTCCGGACTGTGTTCTACAGGAGGTCAGACTAGATGATCACAATGGTCCCTTCTGGCCTGGGAATCTCTGAATCTGTGAATCATATTCTCGGGCAGCAGACTGTGAGTGCAATTTGAGTAGAAAAGTGCATGATATGAACAACCTGATTCTCCAAGGAGTTTTAAACATCACCAAGTACTGATGCCTTTGGTTTTCCTTTATTTTCAAACTTGATAGAGTTACAGAGCCCTAAATGCAAAGTTAGGTGCTAAATTTTTGTAGGGATCAGGACTGGGAGTCATAGAACCCTGGGTTCTAATCCCTGCTGAGAGGCAATCATGACCATATCTGGGATGGACAGTCCCATCTTTCAAACAAGAAACTTAGTGCTTTCTGCTGCATTCCTCCAAAAAGCTCTCCAACTTCACTACTTTTCAGTGCAGTTAAAAGTTGTCTCCCCCTTTTCTTCTCACATATTGTCTCTGTTCATGGCGCGAGGGCACCCCAGTGCTATAAACCACTGGATAGGGTTGGTGATTAGCTTTCAGAACATGAGTGTTGGTAGTTATAGACCTCATCCTGGGCAAATTGGTCACTTGATCAGTGGAGTTAAAAAAGAACTGCCCTTAAAAACGATGGGCCCAAAACAGAAGCAGTCACACAAACTCCCTCCAATTCCAGGATATGAAATACCTTGTTTTGCAAAACCAGAACATCCTAAAACCAAATCCTACATTGGAGCTGAAGTCACTGGAGTTCCACCAGCATAAAACCAGAGCAGTCCAGTGGACAATCAGGCCTATTGTTAATTATAGCTCTATCTGTAAATGTCAAAGCACTTGCCCGAGGTCAAAGTGTGTACTTAAAGTTAATAATGTGCTTAAATGCGTTGCTGAATCAGGGCTTCTAGGGATACCGTGTTATGTACAGTTTAGCCTGCAATGTGCCCTCATGGCCAGCAGTGCCTCTGCCGTGCCCTGCTAACGATTTCTCCCTCAACAGGCTTCCGTGACAAACTCCACACCGGCTTTTCTTGCCCATTCCCCAGCCCTTCCCCGGGGTCCGAGTTTATTCACATAAATAAAGCTCCAAGATTAACTCTTAAGTCCCTAGACATCGTCCACTGGTTTTACTCTCATGTTGGGTCAGTCCCAGGCCTGTAATCTCACTAGGGAAAATAATCATCCCAGGTCCTTCGGCTGGAGTTTGCTCACTCCCAACACTCTCCGATTAACCCTACTCCCAGGCCTTCCCGTCTGGACCTTGCCTGCTAGAGCCTCATGTTTCCAGCCCCCAGGTAACAGGGTCTTTCTTACTTCCTGCAGTTTCCTGAGCTTCCCCCTTCACTGCAGCCGCCTGCTGCCCTTCAAAGGGAATTACTAGATCCAGTCCATGTGTGCCTCGGTGGTAATCAGAGTTGGCTAGCCCCAAGCCCTGCAGCCCTTAAGGGGCGAGCCGGCCTGCTGTGTGCATATATAAAAGGAAACGTATGGTGGTGAATAGTGGGTTTGCAGGCCCAAGTTTTGGTCTGGCCCCCTTACAAGTATGCCCGTGGAAGCTGAGGGCAGTCGTGACCTCACACAATCAGGTCCTTGGTGTGTAGGTACCATGGCACAGGCACAATAATGTGCCCTGGTAATCTCATGTTCCCAGGACAAGATTACAATCCCCTGGCTGGAGAGTGACTGTGAGCAGACTCCAAGGTGGGAAATACAATGAGAAGTTCACCAGGCCCAACCGTTCTGAAATGTGAGTTTATGGTTTCATTCGTGGTTCTTAATTCAAACGGCGGCCAGCAATTCAGCCAACCCTTTTTAACCAGATCCCTTCTAAGTGTTCGCTAGCTATACAATATGTAGGTAATGGAACCGGAAGGCGTATTGTTCTAAACCTCTGAAACCAGCCCAGAACAGGAGAAGGTCTTTCTATTCATCTATAAATTAAAACCTGGGCTTTCAGGAAAGAAAAGCTAGTGCCTACCTGCTCTGCCACGGAGAGTTTCCTGTCTTTAGGAACCCTAGCCCTCCGCTGAGGAGTACAGCCCCTTTGGGGATGTTATTGTGGTTTCTGCACTTACTACTATGTAAAAAAAAAAAGACTGATCCAGGGTTTTATTTGTAGAGTGCACACTGCAAAATATCGTAAGGATCTTGGCACAAATAGCAGAGGTACTTTCAGACTTTGGACAATTATATTGGAAATTTAAAACTCAGTAATTTTTGCATCTAATCCTTTTTTGTTTCTGAAGATTAGAGAGCTTTCTACTAAAAAAAAAAAATTTTTAAAGGAAAAGATTTCAGTATGTACCTTCAACACTGACATTTTTCTCTCTATATACAGCACTTTTCTCCACTCCCCAGCCTGGCAACAAAACCCAAGCTCAGTGAACATTTTATGTGTGCAGTTAATGGAGCATTAAGGTTCAGTCCATTCAGAGATCTTGCACAATGGAATATTAGCTGCTTCACATGTCAATTTGTATGCAGATTTCATTCTGTCCAAAAGGGATGAACATTTGCCAATTCCTCTTGCCAGGTCAGCTCCCGAGTTAGGTTCATAAGCAGGGTCCCAAGTACCCTCACCTACAGCACACTGTCAGTTTCATAATTATGGTAACGTACAGAGCATGGAGCTGAGTAAACCTCTGTTTCTTCTAAATGTTGAGGTCTGTATGCATGTCTCAGCCCTGATGGGGAGCAGTGGCAATCTTTTCTGCTGCAGGGAGAGATGTACATGGGATAAGCAGCCACATCAGAAACGAAAGCATGAGGAAAAGTGAAACAGTTAGGCTGAGACTTTTAAAGTTAATTTTAATGGGAATCGGGCATCCAAATCCTGTAGGCAGCTTTGAAAACATGAGCCTTAAAGTCCACACGCTAGCGGTGGAGGAATAAACTGCTCCTGATGGCAGAGTCCTGGCTAACAAATTGTCACCACAATGGTAGGCGTGGCACAGAATTTACCACTTTCTGGCTCCAAATGTCTCCACCACCCTTGAACTAAAGGAGAATCTCCATGGGCCAGACACAACCACCACCAAAAGCCCGATTGAGATTGAGATGAGCATTGATTGCCATCTTTATTATGAGCTGTGGATTGGGGTGTGACATTACAGTCAGCCTGAACGTGCCCCACCTGAACGATAAGCTCTAAAAGCTATGAGTGAGCTGAAATCCCTGGCAGAGACTCAGCTGCCTCTAGATGGGACGATACAAAAAATATATTGATCTTTAAGAGAGGAGGAACGGAGGCCCCTTTTCCCCATCCCGGTAAGTGGGTAGAGCTTGGTTTTAAACGGCAAATTCTGTCCACGGTTTCACGTTATTGTTCGCGGCACTGCAAATGTATGTGATGATTTACAGAGGAACGGTGCTTTAAAACAACTGAAAACGGGGCCCTATGCATACGGTACTCGGACACTGTGCTGATGTCTGTGGAAGAAGGACCTGGAGAGACCCCTACATGCTATGAATTCTATTGCTGATGATGCTCTCATCTGCTCCTAGAGATCGTCTGGTCTGCAAGCACCTCTTCCCCCTCACTAAGGGCTTGGCTACGCTTGCGAGTTACAGCGCAATAAAGCAGCCCCGGGCGCACTAGCTCACTCCCTGTCCACACTGGCAAGGCATGTAGAGCGCTCTGACTCCACACTGCTAGTACTCCACCTCGGCGAGAGGAATAACGTTTGCTGCCCCTCCCGCTGGTGCACCCCGGTGCCAGTGTGAACGAGGTGTTGCGTTACTGCGCTCTGATCGGCCTCCGGAAACATCCCATAATCCCCTTAAGTCAAGTGGCCACTCTTGTCATTGTTTTGAACTCGCTGTAGAAATGCGGAAATGCCCTTTCAAAGCTCCGTTTCTGACAGCCGGGCATGCAAGCCGTTACTGTGGAAAGCTGTGTGTGAGAGAGAGAGGCGGGGGGCAGGGGGAGGTCTGCTGCTGTCTGAACTTACAAGACAGCATGCTGACATGCCCTCGGGCCCCCAAAACCCACTCTCTCTCCCCCCACATACACACAACACGCTCCCTGTCACACTCCACCTCACCCCTCCCATTTGAAAAGCACGTTGCAGTCACTTGCATGCTGGGATAACTGCCCATAATGCACCGCTCCCAATGCCGCTGCAAGTGCCGCAAATGTGGCCACGCTAGTGCGCTTGCAGCTGTCAGTGTGGACAGACTGCAGCGCTTTCCCTACTGCGCTCTCCGAAGGCTGGTTTAACTCAAAGCGCTCTACAGCGGCAAGTTTAGCCAAGCCCTTAGCCATAGTTTTAGAGAGAGTGGACGAGTTGCCCCAGGGGAACTGGTGGGAGGCCTACTGCTAGAATTATCATGCTTGAGACTGGACAAAAGCAACAGCAATATACCAAAGGGAACAAACTGCACTGATCAGGGGGTCAATCGCTTTGAATTCTGTTCTAAAGCCATGCTGTTTCTCTATCCCCGGGGTACAAGTAGTGACTAGCCCACCTTACTCCCCTCCTCAGATCTCTCAGTCCCGCACCCCTCGATCTGCCATGCAAGAGCAAATCCACCTTTAATGGAAATTTTTAATAATTAGCTGAAGCAACCTAATTGACTAAGGGAGGGAAATGGCAGTTTCCATCAT